TTACAGAGAGAAAGACATTGAGACACGGAGACAAAGAGAGAGACTGAGATACAGAGAGAGACAGTCTGAGCTCTGCAGCTTTATAGAACTTTAGTTAAACCACACTTAGCATACAGTTCTGGTCCCCGCTCTACCATAAGGATGTGGATGCTTTGGAGAGGGTACAGATAACGTTTACCAGGATGTTAAATAAAAACCAAAAGAACTGCAGATGCTGTAAATCAGGGACAAAAACAGAAGCTGTTGGAAAAGCTCAGTAGGTCTGGCAGCATCTGTGAAGAAATAAATGGAGTTAACGTTTCGGGTCCGTGAAAAAAATCTGTTTTTATCTTCACAGATGCTGCTAGACCTGCTGAGCTTTTCCAGCAACTTTGTTTTTGTCCGCTTTTTTTTTAACCAGGATGTTGCCTGGTCTGGGGGATTTTAGCTGTGAAGAAAGGTTGGATAAACTGAGTTGAAGGGCAACCTGATAGAAGTTTATAAGATTGTGAATGGCATGGATAGAGTGGAAAGTATGAGGCTTTTCCCAGGGTGGAGGGACAAGGAGACACAGGTTCAAGGTGCGAGGGGTGAAGTTTACAAGAGATGTGTGAGGCATGTTTTTCACACAAAGGGTGGTGAGTGCCTGGAACGCGCTGCCAGAGGAGGTGGTGGAAGCAGACACAATAGCAGCGTTCAAGAAGCACCTGGATAAATACATGAATAGGAAGGGAATAGAGGGATACGGATCCTGTAAGTGAAGACAATTTTAGTGTGGAAGGGCAAAATGTGTTGGCGCAGGTTTGGAGGGCTGAAGGGCCTACTCCTGTGCTGTATTGTTGTTTATACAGAGAGAGTCCCAAGATACAGTGATGTGGACTAAGAGCAGAGTAACAATATGAAGCGTCAGAAACAGAACAAAGGAAACTCCGTAAATCCAAAGACAAATCCGGAATGGGACAAACACAAGTTGAGAAAGGTTTTAAAATGCATTGCTGATGGAAAACAAGGAAATGGTAAAGGCATCACTGTGGAAGAGTTAGAAAGCTTCCCAATGACACTGGAAAACCAATAGAGTGATTGAGCTGGGGTCAGTAATGGACCTAAAGGTGACCCAGTGTAATGAGCATTTGGCCCACATCCCAGGCTCTTCAAAGAACCGACAGCACAGCTCATAGGTGGACTGGTTCCAATGTTCCAAAGTTCCTTCAATTCATGAAGGATCCCAGTGGATTGGAAAATGGAAAATGTGACCTTTTATTCAAGAAAGGAGGGAGGCAGAAAGCAGGGATGGGATATTTTGGCCAAATGTTTGTCAGGAGGATAATGGCCGAATCCGTTAATAAGGAATATAAATGCAGGATTCTTCAAAAACCATGACTTGGTCAGGCACAGGTAACATGACTGTGCAAAAACACAGGAACCTGTTCCACTACTCAATGAGACTAACGCCGCTCCGTGGCCTAACTCCATATTCCTGCCTTTGGCCCATGTCCCTTAACACTCTTGCTTAACAAAAACTTATCAATCTGTTTTAAAATTAACAACTGATCCAGCATGCGCTGCTGTTTTTGGAAGAGAATTGCAAACATCTACCACCCTGTGTGTGTGTGGAAATGCTTCCTAACATCTCTCCTGATGGTCTGGTCCTAAATGAACAAATTCTGCTCCCAGTTCTAGAATCTCCAACCAGTGAAAGGTAAATAGTGTTTAACTGATTTTTAAGCAGATTGTTTTTTCAAGAAGTAACATTCTCAGGGGATGGAAAGGAACCAGTAGATGTAACGCACTTGGACTTCCAAATGCTATTTTATGCCAGAACACATGGTTGAGGGGATAATGTCAGTGTGGATTGAGGTTTGGTTAGCTAATGGGAAGCAGTGTTGGGACTAACAGGCCTTTCTCAGGTTTTACTGATACCACCTTGGAACACAAGCACTGTATCCTCCCCAGCCACTGTCAATCCCTCTTTAGACCAGAGCACGTGGCACATGGATGGGAAACACAGCTTTCAGGGTGTAGAGGGCAGTTTCTCAGCTGCTGAGAGTTGTCCATCTTCCTGATTAGACTGACATAACTACCACCACATTTGTTCTACTTTCCCTCAGCCTGAATATCTCCCTGAACAATGTGGTTATAGTCAGTTTGCTCACCCTCTCTGCTGCACCCTCTCTTATCCAGACCAACTGCAAAAGGTAACCGACCTGTAGCACTACCTTCTCGATCCCCTCCTTCACGGTCACACCCTTCCTGTCTCTGATGACAAACCAAATCGGAATTATCTTCAAAGGCCCATATCCAATGCCTTTCCCTTGTTCAGCGTTGGGAATTGATCTACCAGGTGGAAAACAGTGTTGAGATTTTTTCGCCCTTCTTGATGTTTCAGTGCCTGAAGCTCAGCAGCCTCCCAGTTATAGCTCAAGTTAGAGAATCACTGCACAGGATTGTCATTGATCTCACTGTGGCTCACCACCCTCTCCGTGCTGCAAGAAATGCAGCCTTGATATCAAGGGCTGTCACTCTCACCTCACCTCTGGAATTCAGCTCTTTTGTCCACGTTTGTACCAAGGCTGTAATGAGGTCAGGAACTGAGTGGCCCTGGCGGAACCCAAACTGGGCGTCACTGAGCAGGTTATTGCTGAGCAGGTGCTGCTTGATAGCGCTGTTACTGACACCTTCCATCACTTTACTGATGATCGAGAGGAGACTGATGGGGCGGTAAATGGCCGGGTTTGATTTGTCCTACTTTGTGTACAGGACATACCTGGGCAATTTTCCACATTGTCAGGTAGGTACCAGTGTTGTAACTGTACTGGAACAGCTTGGCGAGGGGAGCGGCAAGTTCTGGAGCATAAGTCTTCAGTACTATTGCCGGAATGTTGTCAGGGCTTGTAGCGTTTGCAGTATCCAGTGTCTCCAACTGTTTCTTGATATCACATGGAGTGAATTGAATTGGCTGATATCATTATTGGTATCTGTAATACTGGAGGCTGAGATAGATCATCCACTTGGCACTTCTGGCTGAAGATTGCTGTGAATGCTTCAGCCTTATCTTTTGCCCTGATGTGCTGGGCTCTTCCATCATTGAGGACGGGGATATTTGTGGAGCCTCCTCCTCCAGTGAGTTGTTTAATTGTCATGACTGAATGGGACATACCTAATGCTGGTGGTGTCTGGGATATTGTCTGTGGAGTGCAAGTTTATGAGTCAGATTCTTGTTTGATTAGACTGTGGGAACATTGTTCTCAGATTTGGTACCAGGCCATCTTTATCAGTAAGGAGGACTTTGTAAAAGTAACTGCTTTCATTGCAACAAGTTCCATAACCAAAGATTATCAGATGATAGTCACCAAGCCTTGGTTTGTTTGTAAATCTGAGGAGGTGGAATGGGAGTTTAGGAGAATGAGGTAATCTCATTGAAATATAGTGGATTCTTAAGGAGTTTGACAGGGTCAATGCTGAGAGGATGTTTCCTCTCATGGGAGAGTCTAGGACCAGAGGGCACAGTCACAGAGTAAAGGGGCACCAATTGAAGACTGAGATGAGGAGGAATTTCTTCTCTGAGGGTTGAGTGTCTTTGGAACTCCTTACCACAGAGAGCTGTGGGGGCAGAGCCCTCGTGTATATTTAAGGCTGAGATTGATTGATTTGGAATCAGTCAGGGAATCAAGGGAAAGTGGATGTGAGGAATGTTGGATCAGCCACGATCCTATTGAATGAAGAAGTAGATTCAAGGGGCCGAATGGCCGACTCCTGTTTCTATTTCTTATGGGAACCCAACCTGTGAGGAGGCAGAATGGGAACCCATTCAAAACGAAGGTCAATGCCTAGTGGTCTATCCTTTTTAAAACAAAAGTTTTGCAGGTGTATTTACGCAACTGAATGGCTTCAGAATTCAGGAATCAATCTGGTATCACACATAATCCGGACTGGGTAGGGAAGGCAGACTTCCTTCCTTCCTGAACCTGAGTATGCCAGATGGTTTTAGAACAACCTGACATTTCCACAGTCACTTTGGCGAGAGTTTGTTGAGCGCACGGACATGGGAGATCAGCAGGTGGATGTCACGGTGCAGTGTCTATAACAGCAGGTGAGAATCAGACACACACAGATACACACACACACACAGTCTGTAGATATCTCTAGTTTAATACATATTGTACAATCAGAACAAAATGCACAGATAAAAATATGTTAGTTACATATAAACAGCGACATGTGTGAAAGGAGGACTGTGTTTTAGGAGAGGCTACTGGGCAGTGCCCTGATCAGACACTTGTGGAGGTGGGACACAGTCTGAACCTTGTGTGCTACCCCATCCTGCCAGCTGCTCAGCACACTGTCCTTCTCGTACTTATCGAGACAGCTGCTGCAGAGCCTCAGCTCACCAAGCTTTACTCCGAGGGCCGTGACGTTTGATGGGCCATGGACAGAGGAGCCTGAAAGACAAACAGGGAGCAAACCGCTGGTCAGTGCATCATCCCCGAGACCAGTACAAAATGGACCACTCTTTCCTAAGTCAATTTTCTTAACTGCCTGCAAATCAGAACAAAGATCACTACGTGCAGGTGTTCCCTGGCGAGGATACTGTTTATCGTCCACCTACAGCTGACCCAGAGGTTGTATGTTGAAATTGCACTTAGGAACTGAGTGTGTACATCAGACTTCCATAAGCAGTGTCATATGAGGGAATGCTGCACTGCCGGAGGGTCTGGAAGTATATCTTTTGAATGGGGTGGCATGGTGGCTCAGTGGTTAGCACTGCTGCCTCACAGCACCAGGGACCCGGGTTCAATTCTACCCTCGGGTGACTGTCTGTGAGGAGTTTGCACATTCTCCCTGTGTCTGCGTGGGTTTCCTCTGGGTGCTCCGGTTTCCTCCCACAGTCCAAAGATATGCAGGCTATGTGGTTTGGCCATGTTAAATTGCCCGTAGTGTTCGGGGATGTGTAGATTAGGTGTATTATAGGGAGATGTTTCTGGGTGGGATGTTCTGAGGATCAGTGTGGACTTGTTGGGCTGAAGGGCCTGTTTCCACACTGTAGGGTTTCTATGATTCTACGAATGTGACGTTAACCTGAGGCACATTTACCCTCCGAGATCCTGCAGATGGTTGAGGTTCATTGCTGCTGTCTGTGCTGTGACGGGAATGACGATGACGGTGACGATGCACTCCTGGCTTAGGCTCTCTCGGTTAGCGAGCAGTTACTGCCGGTCACTGGTCATGGGCTGTGTTTACTCTTGGCTTTCTCTAGTCTGTTAGTCACCCCTGGGTAAGGGCCTGCCCCGTCCTGGGCTGACAGTCTACACACAGGCAGCGGGTGGCTCTCAATCAGCAAGTCAATGAGCCAGGGAACACAGTCATTGATCCCAATCGGGAATCAGCGATTGACAATCAGTGCTGAAGAAGTCAACAAAAACCTGCATTCACATAGCACCTTCAACATTGCCAAGGTGCTTCACAGGAGTGTTTTGAAGTACAGTCAACATCCAAACATCTGATTGGCTAGTAGGAGAGGTTACCGAAGCTCATTTACAGATGTACACTGTTAAAATGGTTTTGAAGGATAGAGTCAGAAACTGAGGAGTTTGTGGGGGGGAATAACGGAAGAGTTCCGAGGGGCTGTGAGTCACAGAGCCGTGGTTCAGCGCACTCAGCAACACCGTCTCCCTCACCCCGCCCCCACACACACACACACCCCCTGGATCAGATCACATTGCATTGCTACACACCAGGCTGTGGCCCCAGTACCCACCAGAAACATTCAGGTACTGCATTCCACAGCTCCGCTCTCTCACCGCACCAAACAGCATCTCCACTCCCACTGTCGTTATCCCAGAATTGGCTGAAACATCCAGAGAAACCAGGGATGGACACAGTAACAGGCACCTGAAGCAGATCAAATCGAGAGGCGCAACATTATCATTTAGCATTCTGTATCTAACCCCGTGCTATCCCTTTTCTGGCAGTGTTTGATAGGGGACAGTGTAGAGGAAGCTTTACTCTGTATCTAACCCCATGCTGTTTCCTGTCCTGGGAGTGCTAGTGTAGAGGGAGCTTTACTCTGTATCTAACCCCATGCTGTTCCTGTCCTGGGAGTGCTTGATGGAGGAGCAGTATAGAGAGAGCTTTACTTTCAGTTTAAAGCAGTGAAGAGAACTAAGTCATCTAAGTTCACAAATGACTTTTAGGGAAGGAAACTGCCATCTTTGCCTGGTCTGGCCTACAAGTGACTCCAGATCCACAGCAATGTGGCTGTCTCTTAATGACCTTTTGGAATGGATGAGCAAGCTCAGTTAAAGGCAATTTAAGATGGGTAACCAAGATACCCACAACCGATAAAGTTTTTTTTAAAAAAGGCAGCAGTGGATCATTAACCTGGTGGCGAACGACTGTTTGCTCAGAGTAATTCCAACAATTTGGGTCCAAACCCAGCGCTGGCTGAGGGTGTTCCTCTGGCTTACCTCATCGTGTCTCAGGTGCAAAGCCACTATATGGTGTGTGAGAGAGAGAGAGAGAGAGAGAGAGAGAAAGAAAGACAGTGCAAGGGGGCAAGAGGGCGAGTGAGCGAGAGACAGCACGCCAGAGAGAGAGAGAGAGAGAGCGCGCGAGAGAGACAGCGAGAGAATGCTCACTGCAGTGAGGAGATCATTGACAATATTTGTTCTGGGGCCAGGAGATACTCAAACTGGGAAGAGCATTGGAGTGCAGTATTAAAAGAGAGTTACCTGCACAGATCTCTGACAGAATCATCAGTCAGGTGATTCCCAGAGAGGTTAAGATGGGTCAGATTGCAATCACCCTGGATATGAGGAGGAGAGAGACAGACACGTACCATTAACCGATCACAGAATGCTGATCAATGAGATACATTTAAAAACAAATAGTGCGCAGATGAACTAGCCTGATAAATAATGTTAGCACGTACAGACTCTCCCTGCACTTATTCTCAGAACTGACCTGGGACAGGTATCTGGCAAGGTGCTCCATTACCAAAGTGTCACCGTGGTTACTGATCACGGCGGCGATATCCAGATGGCTGACGGTGTGCTGAGGCAGGCTCTGTAGGATCAGCTCAGTTCCTACTGAGCCCAGAGCATTGTGTGACAGGCAGACTGTCTTCAAGTGCCCTGCGCCTGGGTGAAAACAGGAGAAATGTCAGTAAGGTCAGTGTGAGGACGGGGACAATAGGCAGTTCGAATCCACACAGTCCCCACCACCTCCCTCTCTCCCCAGAGTACGTGTTCGCAAGCACTTCCTGTCCTTACGATATACACACATCTACCACCACACTGAGTGCTGGGAGCCACAGTCCTGGTCAATAGCATCCAAAAAGAGTTTTCTCATCGTCCTTTCCTGTGGCCAGACTGATTAATTTCACATCAATTTCACATTCACATGGTCAGTAAATTTGTGGACGACACCAAAATTGATCGCAAAGTAGACAGTGAGGAAAGTTTTCTAAGATTACAAAGGGATCTTGATCAAGTGGGTCAACGGGCTGAAAAATGGCAGATGGAATTCAATCTTGATAAATGCGAGCTAATGCATTTTGGTACAACAACCAAGGGAAGGGATTATACAATTAAAGGTAGGGCCTTGGGTAGTGTTGTAGAGCAGAGGGACCTAGAGGTGCAGGTACATAATTCTTTGAAGTTTGCATCACATATAGACAGGGTGGTTAAAAAGGCATTTGGCACGCTTGCCTTCATTGCTCAGTCATTTGACCGTAGGAGTTGGCAAATCGTGTTAAGGTTGTACAGGACATTGGTGAGGCCTCTTCTGGAATACAGTTCTGGTCGCCCAGTTGTAGGAAGGATATTATTAAGCTGGACAGGGTTCAGAAGAGATTTACCAGGATGTTGTTGGGTATGGAAGGTTTGAGTTATAAAGAAAGGCTGGGACATTTTTCACTGCAATATAGGAGGTTGAGAGGCAGCCTTATAGAAGTTTATAAAATCATGAGAGGTATGGATAGAGTTAGAGTTATGGATAGATCCCCTAGAATAGGGGATTTCAAGACGAGTGGGCACATTTTTAAGGTGAGAGGACAGATATTTAAACAAGACAGAGGAGGCAAATTTTTTACACAATGTGCTTTGTGTGTGGGATGAACTTCCTGAGGAAGTGGATGATATGGGTACAATTACAATGGTTTAAAAGATATTTGGACAGATACATGAACAGAAAAAGTTTGGAGGGATATGGGCCAAGAGCAGACAGGTGGGACCAGTTTAGTTTGGGATTATGTTCGGCATGGACTGGTTAGACCGAAGGGTCTGTTTCTGTGCTGTATGACTCTATGACTCTCAAACTGTGGAAGGTTACAGGCATAGGTTACAGCCTATCTGGAAGTCCCTTCCAACGGGCCCCGCCCACTGCTACATTAACACCATAAATTGGTACCAGCACCAAAGGCTATTTATTTCATTTATTGCGTCGTGACTTCATCAGTTAACTGAGATTGCGCTGATAACTGCACATCACTGTTCCACAAGCTGTTACTATGTGTGTAGAATCCCAGAGACAGACATCCATACATACTTCCACTCTCGGTGAACTTAAGTTCATCCCAAACTTACAACACAGCCCCTTCACCAACCAGCCCTCTGTTCGCTGACCTACATTAGCTCCGAGTCAAGCTAAGCCTCGAGTTAAAAAGACTTCAGCCCCTTCTCAACTCTGTATCTATCCCAGTCCCATAACCCTCAGATACCTTCCGGTCTAACCACCTTGGCCCCTTGTATATGTCCTGATTTGAAACACGCCATACCACCAGTAGCTGGGTCTTCACTGCCGAGGTCCCACGTTCTGGAAAATCCCTTTCTAAACCTCCCCTTTTCCCTTCAGGACACTCCGTACAATCTTTGACCAAGATTTTGGTCACCCCTCTGAACACGTGGCTCCATAACATGTGGTTTGGAGTATTTCACAACTTTAAAAAAAAAAATTCATTCACAGGATGTTGGTTTCGCTGGCTGGGTCAGCATTTATTACCCATTCCTAATTGCTCAGATTACACAGTCACACACATTACTTCACCCTGGAGTCACAAGTAGGCCAGACCAGGTAACAATGGCAGTTTCCTTTCCCAAAGGACGTCAGTGAACCAGTTGGGTTTTTCCAACAATTGATAACAATTAGACTCTTAATTCCAGATTTTTTTTACTGAATTCAAATTCCACCATCTGCTGTGGCAGGATTTGAACCCAGGTCCCCAGAACATCAGCTAGGTCTCTGAGTTAATACCACTAGGCCGTTGTCTTGATGAACATACACACTGAACATTAAACCACAGCAGTCAGCTAGCTCTAAGCAGAAGCTGGCTCTTACCTTTCATAGCTTCTGTCAGCAGGAGGCGGTAATTCTGCAGGAACTTGGCTGTGAGCCCACAGGCCTGGAATTTCAGCGTGCTCAGTAGAGGGCAGGATTTGATGAGAGAGGCTATAGACTGAGAGCAGCCGTCACCCAAAGGATTGAGGCTGAGGTTCAACTCCTCCAGACTCTGAAACACAAAAGAACTTTGTCGAACAATTCCGCAGAGAATCCTCCTGACACTGCTCCCATGCCTGATGCTTTCCTTCTACTTGTGCAGGAAATAGCTGAGACCCTCCCCATGCTAATTAACTTCCGTTAAAGAGGGGTGAATAGAGTAGGAGTGGGATAGGGTGAGAGGAGAATTAAAGGAACACTGCAGTGAATCACTATGACTTGGAGAAGGGATCTGTCAGTGGTGTTGGTCGCAGGGTTACCTGGAGATTATTCTGTTGGTAGAAAGGTCAGTGTCACCTTTGTCTCACAGGCCAAGCAGCCTCAGAGCAGGGAATGAGGCAGAAAGTACAGTGAGAGAGATGCTCTTCACACTGCAACACACACACACACACACACAGTGAGTCAATAGTGACAGCCCAAACTGCGTACAGGCAGCACATCTTCAAAGTTTGCAAACGATTCAAAATTTGGCAACATAATAGTGAGGACAGTTAGAGAAAGGGACTGACTGAAATGGGCAGATATAGTTTGATGTGGATAAATCTGAAATGACACAGTTGAGAGAAACCCGATGGAGAGACATAATCATATAAATTTTGAGGGAAATATAGTGGGAGCCTAGGAGTGCATATTTACAAATCCTTGTAGGTGGTAGGTCAAGTTGCTAAGATGGTTAAATAGCTGCACATAACAATGTGGCTTTTTAAACGGGGACATTGAACATAATAACAAAGAAGCCAGGCTGAACATTTGTAGACCACTGGTTCAGCCCTAGCTGGAGCTTTGTGTACAATTTAGGAAGGTTGCAAAAGGCTGGAAGCAGTACCGAGTAGGTTTAGCAGCAATTAATCAGATGGAAAGAGTGGAGAAGCTGGGATTGTTCTCCCAGTAGAGAACATCAGTCAAATGTCATAGAGATGTTCAAAATTCTGAAGGAGTTTGATGAACCAAGTGGGGAGAAGCTGTTCCCTCTGGCAAGTGGTTCAGTAACCATGGCTCATCGATTTAAAACCATGAGCAAAAAGCTTTCCTTCATAACGTAACGCGCCCCACAATGATCTCTCAGGTATAGTTTAAAGAAAAAACAGAAATGAGAAAACTATAGATTCAGTGAACAGTCTAAAGAGTTCATTTGGCCTGCCATGTCTCTGCTAGCTCTCTCCATGAGCAATTCACCTTGTGCCAGTCCTCTGCTATCTGCCCTTAGGCTAGACCATTTGGTTGCTTCTCAGACAATTCTCCAATTCCTGACTGAAAGCTCTGATTGAACCACCTCCACCCCTCGCGCGCATGCACACATGCGCACAACACACAGAGCAGCATATTCAGATCCTGACCACTTGCTGTGTGAAAAATCTTTTCCTCTTAGCTTTTTTTGCCAATTGCCTTTAATCTGTGCCCTCTGGTTCTTGAAGCTTCCACCAGTAGAAACATAGAAACTAGGAGCAGAAGGCAGCCATTCAGCCCTTCCAGCCTACTCCATCATTCAATATGATCACGGCTGATCGTCCCTGTCTATACAAGGAAACTGAAAGAACTGCCAATGCTGGAAATCAGAAATACAAACAGAAAGTGCTAGAGAAACTCATAAGATCTAGCAGCATCTGTGGAGAGAAAGCAGAGTTAATGTTTCAGTCCAGTGACCCTTCTGGGTTTTTCCAGCAATTTCTGTTTTTGTTTGTCCCTGTCTATTCTGTCCAGACCCTCATGATTTTGAAAACGTCTCTCAAAGCTCCTCGCAACCCTGTCTTCTCCAAACTATTTGTGTCCCTGAAGTCCCTCATCCTTGTGAATCTTTGCTGCAGCTGCTCCAATACCTTCAGATCCTTCCCCAAGTTAAGAAGAGTGGGCGAGAACTACAACCCATCTTCCAGGATCTGGCAAGTCTCCTGGTCTATCAGGTTACACAGGGGAGAGATAGAGAAATGACTTCTCTTCCTGGGAATGTCCAGAGCAAGGTATCACCACTGACAGATAAAGAATGGAGAAGGGAGCTTCTTTACACACAGAGTGAAGAGAATGTGGAACTCTCTGTGAAGTGCTGATTCATCACATTAATGTACAGAAATGGAAGCTTCTTTTTAATTTGACCATGGGATGTGAGTGTTGCTGGTTAGGCCAGCATTGATTACCCTAGTTAGGAGTCAACCGTGTTACTGTGGGTCTGGAGTCACGTGTAGGCATCCCTAAAAAGAACTGGTGAACCAGAGGGGTCTTTACAACAGTTGACAATGGTTACACAGTCACCATTAGGATTTTGATCTCAGACTTTCATGGGTTCAAACCCATGTCACCAGAATATTAAATTAAAACCAAAAGAACTGCAGATGCTGGAAATCAGAAACAAAAACAGAAATTGCTGGAAAGGCTCAGCAGGTCTGGCAGCACCTGTGCAGAGAAGGCAGAGTTGACGTTTCAGGCCCAGTGACTCTGCATCGGTGAGTCCTTCTCTCCACAGATGGTGCCAGACCTGCGGGGCTTTTCCAGCAATTTCTGTTTTCATCCCCAGCACGTTAAACTGGGTCAATGAATTAACAGTCCAGTGACATTACATGGTACTAGGCTGGGGAGTGGTAATTAGTAACAGGTGTAGAGTATAAACACTAGCACAGAACAGTGGGGCTGAATGGCCTGTTTAACTGAGAATCTGTATCAAACTTCCATGATTCGCCCCTGTTGCTAGAGAGTTAATGGACTCTTCACAGCTTTTCATTTCAAAGACGCAGGCTGGACTGTTCCGGTTTAAATGAACTTGCACAGACAGCACCGACTGCACAAAACAAACTCAAAGTTCAGGTACTCACTTGGAATGGGGCATCCTGGGAGACTCTGCTGGTCTCACAGAGAGTCCTCAGGCCTTGGTGTGTGATCTGATTGGAGGAGAGGTCCAGCACGGACAGGTTGGGCATGGTCACCAGGCAGGCCACCAGTTCCTCCATGGCATCGTCACCAAGACGATTGGCGGAGAGGCAGAGCTGCCGGACAGTGGTCTGCAGTTTGAGGGCCCGCAGGAGGGGGGTCAGGTGCTCCTTGGTCAGCGACAGGCTGGATAGCTGGAAGCAGGGACTGTTCTCCTGGGTCTCACACACCCTCAACACCAGACCATTAACAGCTAGAGAAAGAGGAACAGGAATATCCAGATCAGCAACAACTGGGAAACCGCTCAGAACAATACCAACATAACAGTGACAAGGACAACTGGGAAACCATCGCAAATACGCAATCAGATACACTGGACACTGAGTGTTTCAGGGCAGGAGACCAAAGAGTGCACAGTTTGAAGATGGAGGGGAGGGAAAGAGGGAGAGAATCCCAAAGCTTTGGGCCCTCGGAAGCTTAAGGTGCAGCCAATACTGGAGCGATGGAAGTCACTGGATACACAAGAGGTCAGAATGGAGAATCACCAAGATCTGGCAAGGTCGGGAGAGCCAAAGGAGGTTAGAGAGTCATCAGTAAATCACAACACTTAGACTGTTGTTAACATCTCTCTCCTTACCCAATGACAGACTGTCACAGGCCCTCTTGTATCGTTCAGAGAGTGGAGGCAGATCCCAGGACACGACCTCAGCCAGGACCTGAAAAACACAAATGGAAGCAAAGGTGAGTTTGTCACCTCAAACTCAGTGTCTCACGAAGCAGAGTGCTGTGAGGGAACAGCATCATCTTTGGTCAGCTTTGACCCAGACATTGGGCTGGTCACAAAATGTCAGTACAGCGAGCTTTATTTTCTGTTTTGAAAGAGAAGAGGAAGTTTTACTCTGTATCTAACCCTGTGCTGTCCCTGTCCTGGGAGTGTTTGATGCGGGGACAGTGTAGAGAGAGCTTTACTCTGTATCTAACCCTGTGCTGTCCCTGCCCTGGGAGTGTTTGATGGCGACAGTGTAGAGGGAGGTTTACTCTGTATCTAACCCCAGGCTGAGACAGTGTTGCTGGTCTTACCTCCTCGTTGCTTTGTAGAACATGGATGATGGGATCCTGTGGGGACAGAAGTGCCCCTTCCTTCTTCAGCATGAGCTTGGGCCGGAGCCCACACATTTGGTAATGTCGCTGAGTGGCCTGTTCTGCCAACCAGGAAACAGTCCGTACCTCAGTGTCACTGTGGGACGAGGAAAGACAGGTTAAACTCTCAGCTGGAACTACGGTGTGATCCAGCATTCCCTTTCGTGTGTTTCAATTCCAGATTAATTAATCAAATTGAAATTCCACCAACTGCAATGGTGGGATTTATACCGCTGTCCCCACAGCATTAAAACAAAAAACAACAAAACTGCAGATGCTGGAAATTTGAAACAAAAAAAACCCCAGAAACTGCTGGAGAAACTCAGCAGGTCTGGTAGCATCTGTGGAGAAAAAGCAAAGTTAACATTTCGAGCCCAGTGACCTTTTCTCACAGGTTCTGAAGAAGGGTCTCTGGATCTAAAATATTAACTCTGTTTTTCTCCCTCTCTCTCCACAGATGCTGCCAGAGCTGCTGAGTTTCTTGGCTAATTCTGCTGTAGACAATGGGTGAGCAGTGCTGAAAGCAGCCTATTTCATAACAGCACGTGGGGTGTGACAGTGGGGTAAACGACATGGAAGGAGGTGTTCACGCAGTAAAATTATTTACCTAACGTTGAGACCTGAAGGCACCTAAACATAAGATGACATGCTGTCCCTCTTGTGGAATTGAAAGCGAGTGACTGTGAATGTATTATTGATTATCATAAAAACCCATCTGGTTCACTAATGTCCTTTAGGGAAGGAAACTGCCATCCTTACCTGGTCTGGCCTACATATGACTCCAGACCCTCAGCAATGTGGGTGTCTCATAACTGCCCTCTGAAATGGCTGAACAAGGTCCTCTGATCAAGGACAGTCAGGGATGTCAATGAATACTGGCTTTGCTCGCGACACCTACATCCCATGGCAGAACGAAATAAGCTCGGGAGAACTGTTCCACAGTTCATATGTCCATATTTGGAACGGAGAAAGAACAAGCGTTTACGAGAATGACAGCAGAGACGTCATCCCTGTCAGGAAAGATTGAACAGGCTGGCATTCTGCACTAGTAAGGAGCTGAGCGATCACTGGATAGAGGGCTTTAATATTTGGAAGTTGCTTCACAAAGGATTGACCAGTTCAAATGAATGGCAGCTGTTCAAGAAGACAGCTCACCTAGGGTTGGGCAATAATTTGATTTATTATTGTAACATGTACCGAGATACAGTGAAAAGTATTGCTTCGCGTGTTAACCAGACAAATCATACCTTACGTAAGTACATCAGGATAATAGAACAGAATGCAGAATATAGTGTTACAGCTACAGAGAAGGTGCAGAGAAAGATCAACTCAAATATATGAGAGGTCTGTTCATAAGCCTGGTAACAGCAGGGAAGAAGCTGTTCTTAAATCTGCTTTCAAACTTTTGTACCTTCTGCCTGACATAAGAGGGTGGAAGGGAGTATAACAGGGGTGGGAGGGGTCTTTGATGATGTTGGTTGCTTTCCTGAGGTAACGGGAAGTGTAAATAGAATCGATGGAAGGAAGGCTGGTTTTTGTGATGGACTGGGCTGTGTTCACAACTCGGTGTAATTTCTTGGGCAGTTGCCATACCAAGCTGTGATGCATCTGGATAGGATGCTTTCTATGGTGCATCTCAGAGTCGTTGTGGACATGCCCCGTTTCCTTAGCCTTCCGAGGAAATAGAGGTGTTGGTGTGTTTTCTTGGCTGTGGCATCAATGTGGATGGACCAGGATGGATCGTTGGTGACGTTTACTCCGAGGAATAAATGTTGGCCCAACCAAGAACACATATTCCATGAATTAAGAAAATATTCTTCAGATTAATTCCTCACCTGTCCTCTGCCTCCCAGAATTTGAAATTTCCTGCCAGTACAGTCCATGCCTGCTGATCGTCTGGAGGTATCGGATTATCAAACTCAGTTGGCTATTGATAACTCTATAATCCAACAACACCCACCAACACCCTTCCCCCTTGCCAATCAGCCTCAAACATACCTGTGTGCTATTGGGATCAGGAAGACATTATCTTGCACTCTGACCCTCACTCTGATCGATGGAGGTGCTGCTGGGGTGACAGGTGCAAACTGTAGGGTTGAAACCTGGAGAGAGAGAGAGAGAGAGGGAGAGAAAGAGAACGGGCACAGGATCAACGGGTTACTGAGCACCGAGCTGGTAACACCAAGAAACTAGTGAGAGCTGCAGACTGACCCGGGGGGGGGAGCACCCTGTAGGGCCACTGGACCTGGGAGGGGGCACCCTGTAGGGCCACAGCCCAACCCAGGAGGACACCCTATAGAACTGATGGGCCCTTCATTCTGATGGGATGATTGGTCTGAGAGGGTTAGGGAGGAGAGCGCTGTGGAATACCGAACGGTTCCATACATTACCAGTGAGCTGGAAGCTGATGTTGGCTCGCTGGTTGTACCAGTGACCAGAGAGGTGCTCCTCACATTGTTGCTGTTGCTGTCATTTGCTGTCCTCCTGACCACCACCCTGTCCACTATCTGGGTCATGCGCATCTGCTTTGAGCGTTTTTTCTGCGCAGTGGTCCTCTCACGGCTCCCAGGCAGATGTGAGCTCCGACTGGGATCACCTTCGCCACCGAGGCCAGGCTCCTCTGGGTCAGTGACCCTGCCCACATGTCTCTGTTCCCGGGGTCTCTTCTTGGCTCGGCTATTACCCAGATCATCGTCCAGCCAGCTGTCCTCCGTGTACTCACTATCTGGGATCAACGCCGACTTCCTGGTGGCCGGTGCTGGCTGAACGGATGGCGCTGCTAAAGATTGGGATAAAATCCTGGATTTTGCACTCCCTAAATTCCGGATAGCCTGCAGATAAGTGGATGTCCCAACACTGGGAGCATCAAAATCACATTCCTGCCCTGTCCCAGGCGAATGCCACTCACTCGCCTCTTCCTGACTCGAACCAGAGTCATCAACCAGAGTGGGTAATCGGCCACTGTTAGAGTTTGTCCGTCCTGGGCCTGTGGAAGACATCTGACCTATGATCCTGTGTCGTTTCTTCACCGGTTGGCACAGCTCCACTGGAACCTCCTCTTCAGAAGAGCCCTCCTCCCCGAGAGCAGACCAATCCAGCCGGTTGCGAGTGGTCATCTGGGTACTGGACACTAGAGGCTTGCCAGGGCCATCAGACAGATCATCAGTGCTGTGTAACCGAGCCCAGAGCAGGTTGGTCTGGGTCACAGGAGCTGTGCTCAAATCCGGTCTGCTTCGACACTGACCTACCATATCCTTGCGCCGATATCCTCTCTCTCGCTCATTGGGGAGATCAGACATAGAGGCAGTAGCACACACTTCGATTAACTCCTGTGGCTGTGAACTCTCAGAATCAAACAGTTCACTGTCTTGAAGGACTTGAACTGGCTGCAAATCTGTGAAGAGGAAATAAAAGTAAAAACAATATTTCACTAAAAGCAACAAAGTCAAGCACATTTAATTTAATAATAATGCCAATAGTTAATTTTAAGCTAAAATTAAAACATTTTCGACCTTTTTAAAATGAAATTAAAGCTCTCTCTACTCTTTTAAACTAACAGTAAAGTCCTCTCTACACTATTCCCATCGAACACTCCCAGAATAGGGATAAAGTAAAGCTTCCTCTATTCTCTCAAATGGAAAGCAAAGCTCCCTCACACTGAGCCCATCACATACTCCCAGGTCAGTGCAGGGTTACATACAGAGTAAAGCTACCTCTACTCTTCTTAACAGAGTAAAGCTCCCTCTGCACTGACCAGCACCAAGCATTCACAGGACAGAGACAGCATGGGATTAGATACAAAGCAAAGCCTCCTCAACACCTATAAACTGAACATAAATCTCCCTGTACACCATCCCTATCAAGCACTCCCAGGACAGGGACAGCACGGGGCTACACCATCCCCATCAAAAATTGCCAGGACAGGGACAGCACAGGGTTGGATATACAGTAAAGCGACTTCTACGCTGTCCCCCATCAAACACTCCCAGGACAGGGTCAGCACAGGATTAGACACACAGTAAAGCTCCCTCTACACTGTCCCATTGAGTGCATACACAGCGTGTTTCGACTTGTGGGGAGGAGCCAAACTAGAGGCATTCTGTATGTAAACTGCCATCAAGAAATCCAATCAGGAATTCAGCACAAAGATCTTTACCAGACAGTGAGAATGTGGGCCTCATTCCCATACATACTGTTCATCTTGCCCACAATATTGTGTGTGTTTAAGAGGGAACGGCGTATAGGCAGATTTACATGAGGAAGGATGCCATTAAAATTCTAAAGAGGTGTAGATGGATTTTAGCAAGGCATTCGACAAGGTTCCACATGGTAGGCTCATTCAGAAAGTAAGGAGGCATGGGATTCAGGGAAATTTGGCTGTCTGGATACAAAACTTTTGTGTCCAATAGAAGACAGAGGGTGGTAGTAGATGGAAAGTATTCAGCCTGGAGCTCAGTGACCAGTGGTGTTCTGCAGGGATGTGTTCTGGGATCTCTGCTCTTTGTGATCTTTATAAATGACTTGAATGAGGAAGTGGAAGGGTGGGTTAGTAAGTTTGCTGATCACACGAAGGTTGGTGGAGTTGTGGACAGCGTGGAGGGCTGTTGTAGGTTGCAACGAGACATTGACAGGATGCAGAGCTGGGCAAAGAAGTGGCAGATGGAATTCAACCCAGAAAAGTGTGAAGTGATTCATTTTGGAAGGTTGAATTTGAATGCAGAATACAGGGTTAATGGCAGGATTCTTGGCAGTGTGGAGGAACAGAGGGATCTTGGGGTCCACGTCCATAGATCCCTCAAAGTTGTGACCCAAGTTGATACGGTTGTAAAGAAGGCGTATGGTGTGTAGGCTTTCATTGGCAGGGGAATTGTGTTTAAGAGCCACGAGGTTATGCTAGAGCTCTATAAAACTCTGTTAGACCACACTTGGAATATTGTGTTCAGTTCTGGTCACCTCATTATAAGAACGATGTGGAAGCTTTAGAGAAGGTGCAGAGGAGATTTACCAGGAAGCTGCCTGGACTGGAGGGCAGGTCTTATGAGGAAAGGTCGAGGGAGCTAGGGTTTTTTTCATTAGAGTGAAGAAGGATGAGAGGTGACTTGATAGAAGTGTACAAGATGATGAGAGGCATAGATAGAGTGGATAGTCAGAGACTTTTTCCCAGGGTAGAAATGACTATTATGAGGGGGCATAATTTTAAGGTGATTGGAGGAAGGTATAGGGGAGATATCAGAGGTGGGTTCTTCACACAGAGAGTGGTGGGCGCGTGGAATGCGCTGCCAGCAGTGGTAGTGGAGTCAGATACTTTAGAGACTTTTAAGCGACTCTTGGCGAGGCAGATGGAGGATAGTAAAACGTAGGGTATTCAGGGTAGATTGATCTTAGTAGGACAATAGGTCGGCACAACATCGCGGGCCAAAGGGCCTGGACTGTGCTGTACTGGTCTATGTTCTATGGGAGGAGGCTGAATAGCCCGTTCCTGTGCTGGGTTGGAGTTGAGCTGACTGGAGAACAATAAGAGTGGGAGGGGGATGGTCACCGTCTTCCTCACATTGCTGGTAAGATAAACCTGCAAACACAATTGGTCCGATTTCCTCCTCACCTCTGGCTGAGCTGCTCCTCAGCAGTTTCTCGATGCGTTTGCACTGCTGTTTGGTATCCTGATCCAGGTGTTTGCAGTAAGTCTGATTCCACTCGTGTAGACTGTCCAGCGGGGTGTGACCCTGAGGATCAGACAGTAGAACATTCGATGAGAGACTGACTCACCCGCAGAGAGCAGCTAAACGTCAGGCAAGATACACAGGAACGGAGTCTGATTGGGATCATTCCAATATGCACATCATCTCTAACCTGCAATTTGGAAAGAATTCTCGGACAAAACTTCCAGGAATAGGCATTTGGAGCAAATGAAAAAATGATAAGCCAGGCTCCAAGTTTAAGAGGCTCAAAACTCGAGCCATCCACACGATCTGGCCCCAGCATTGCTGCCCCCTGGCAGCTTCCAGGTTTCCCACCTGATCCCGTTTCCTACCTTGGCGTTGCGCATTGTCACCGAGGCTCCTTTTAAAATCAGTAGCTCAGCCACATCGAAGTTTCCACAGGTGATAGCATCGTGAAGTGGTGTGATCCCCTCACAGTAGGGTCCCCCAGGGTCATTCACATTCACCGGGTGGTTCAACAGGAAACGGACAATCTCTGGGGGGGAGAAACAATGGCCGTGGTTTAAAATTGCAGGTAGCTGGGTCAGTGCCTGTCTGTCATTCCCCTTCCCCCAAACTCTCCTTTATACTGGGGTGTACTGGCTGCTCAGATCAAGGTCAGACCCTTGGAGCAATGGGCTGGATTCACAGATCTTCATTTATATCAAACCCTCACTGTTGTCTCCAAATGCCACTACTGGGCACAAGCACCTCAGCCTGATGGGCAGTGAGGGGAGGGCAGCAACGATGACCATCACACGGCCTGCTGAACTGGTTTCCTCGACAGCTACAATGGACCAGGGTGAAGGATTCCAAGCAGCTCAAATTACCCTCATTTTCTAAGCAAAAACATGTCATACCATGATGTATGTTTGACAGTTCTTTGGTATATAGGCCATTCAGCCCCACCTGCCTGCTCCACTATTCAATACCATCTGTTTGTGTTTTGAATCCAACCTTCCCACAATCCCCCCACCCTGCCCAATCTAACCTTTGATTCTCCGACCAACTAAGACTCTATCCACCTCTGCCTTATAAACGTTCAACAACTGCCCCCCCACCCACCCCCAACCTCCTGAGGGAGAGGGGCTCCAAAGTCACACAGCACTTTGAGAAAAAAAGATCTTCCATCTGTCCTGATGACCCCTGATTTTAAAAGTGCTCCCAGTTCTCATCTCATCGACAATGGGAAACATCTTTTCCATGTCTCACCTTGTCAGGACCATTCTGGATCTTATACACTTTAAAAGGGATATACTTTAGGTCTAGTGGTATCTGCTCTGTTAATCCAGAGACCCAGGTAATGTTTTGGGGATCCGGGTTCGAATCCCGCCACGGCAGATGGTGGAATGTGAACTCAATAAAAATCTGGGATTAAGAATGTAACGATGACCATGAATCCATTGCCAATTGTTGGAAAAACCCATCTGGTTCATTAATGTCCTTTAGGGAAGGAAACAGCCATCCTTACCTGGTCTGGCCTATATGTGACTCCACACCCACAACAATGTGGTTGACTCTTAATTGCCCTCTGAAATGACTGATCAGGCCACTCAGGTAAGGGGCAATTAGGGACACATAACAAATGCTGGCCTTGTCAGTGACACACACATCCCACGAAAGAATAAAGGAAAATTGTATGCTGCTGCTGGACCTTTCCATCCAACATCACGTAAGAGGTACAAGAGGGCGTGTGTCTGTCTGTCTGTATCTGTGTGTGTGTGTGCCTGTGCCTGTGCGTGTGCGTGTGT